TTACTAAGCAATTGGAACATATCACTCCTCAAACGATATTACTGCTAAGGTACGATCTTCTCCATTTTCGTTTATATTTTATACTAACCATTTACAGGTGTTTAATCGAAGACACCAATGGATTATTCAAACACAAAGTCCTTAGGTCTGAAAGCAAGCATTGCACTCTTTTTTTCTTAGACCGGTTTTTGTCCCAAATGGGTTTTTCCAGCGAGGTTTTTAACAAGGCAACCATTGTTCGTGCTAACTTAGAGCAATTCAACAGTATCCGAGGCTCCTTTACAATCAACCTCGAATACTGGGGGGCATCACCCTTGGATAGTTACAAGGAAAATACTTCGTGACGACATGGTCTCGATAGGTAAAGGACCAAATGGTCAAATGAACCGTGTCCATGTAGATTACTCTAGCCCTAATGGCAAAACATATACGCATGTATAATCTATTGAAAGAAGTATGTTTCCTTACCAGATGTTCTATGCCGTAGAGAAATTTATACTTTACAATTTCATACTTATGATCTATTGTGAAAACTGGCTTAAGGGCCGATCACAACTGAAGTTCAAACAATTTACCCTATACTCGGGGACTGCCGTCCAAAAAATTGACATGATCGAATTACTAAACCTCGAAATTGTAAGACCTTAAAAAGGCAATCCTCGATTTTATAGGCCATGGCCACCCCACTCGGGGACTGACACTTCGAACGAGTTCGAAGTATAGCAGGGAAACAAGCCTAAGGGGCAAATCCCAAACTAAAGGCTACGACCAAATTAACACGGTTCAGAGATGTCCGAATTTTATTATAAAATAGGCCTTCAAATATTCTCATAAACCGGTTAAAAAAAGCAACCCTCGGCTGAATTACTAAGGGTCTCGATAATATCGACCCTCGAAAAACCCTAAGGGGTAGTGGATTGTTTGAACTCCCGGACAATTTTGTGCTAAGGCATAACAAAGCAAAGGATTTCGGTAACACCAATCCTCGAAAAACCTAATGGGTACAAATTTATCTCGTGCTAAGGCATGACAAATTTTTATGATTAATTTTTCAAGCCGAAAAAGGGGAAAAACCATTCTTTTGGGGCCATATCGGCCTAATTCAAGAGCCTAAGGGCCATTTTATTTTTTGAGTTCGAGAAATCATCCTTACTCAACTAAAACCTAAGGGTTACTCTACTTCGAGTTCGAGCAAGTACTCACTCGATTTTAAAGACTACACTGGTCCGACTTCGGTCTAGTTGCCTTAAGTTCCAAACTTGTGAGCAAAATCTCCATAAGGCATGAAGGCATGAATGAAATAGAATTTTTACGAGGCAGGAAATAAAATAAAGACAAGTCAAAGAGAAAACAGATCTTTTATCTATACGAAAATATTTACAAGGTCTGATCAGGGTCCCGCACAAAACATCAAAAAAGAAAAAGCCTAAGATTCCTAATTTTCCTCAGGGGCAGCTTCTTCTCCATCGAGGTCCTCCCCTTTCTCGTACCTGCTCTTGCTGCCATCATCATCATCATCATCAGACGTACCCACCTTTTGCTCATCTCGACGGGAGGCATCTTCGATCTTCGACAACTCGGGGACTTTGCCCGAGTCCTTTTCCAAGACCCCTTCGGCTTAAGGCGAAAACTCCTCAATCACTACCGACTCAGCGGCCTTTGGGGCCTCGATGGTTTTTTTCACTCGGGCCACCAGTTCCGAGTCATCGTCTTCATCTTCTTCTTCCTCCTCCCTTAGCCATTGAATCATATTTGCAGGCAGGGCAACGATGTCTTTCTTTGTCTTACGAACCATATTCTTCTTAGGCTTTGGATCCTCGGAGGTTGAGGTCATTTTCCTCTTCTTATCCTTCACCGTCTTCGAAACCGGGGTCGAAGTATCCTCCTCACCAGACGGGGCCCTCATGATCGCATCCTTGCCCAGGCCTGTACACGAGAAAATTGAATAAGTAGAATAAGGGCATCTTAATCAAATCATCAAATACACAAGCACGGGGGTCGGGAATCGCAAGGGGCATCCAAGCGACCGCTACATCATGTAAAAAGACATCAATGAGAAAAGACAAAGGAACAAATAACACATGGAAGCTAATAGTGAGACGGTACTTACGATTCATGTTCCATTTTTCAGGAAATGGCATCTTCTCGGTTGGTATTAGGTCGGAAGTTCTCACTCGAACGAACCGACCCATCCAGCCTCGATCCTTGTTCTCATCTATGCTCGAGAGAATCACTTTGGTAGCCCGACATTGGAGTTTTATTAACCCGCCTCGATAGAGGCGGGGGCTGTACAATCTGATAAGGTGATCGAGGGTGAAAGAGAGTCCCTCGACTTTGCTCACGAAGAATCAGAGCAGAATAACAATTTGCCAAAAGGAAGGATGGATTTGGCCTAGGGTTATTTGATATTGACGGCAAAAATCAACGATGATGGGGTTGAGGGGACCCAGCGTGAAAGGGTAAGTGGAAGCCCTTCCACATGGGTGGTGATGTCTTCTTCGGGAGTCAGGATCACCACATCTTTGCCCTCTCAGTTGCAGTCTTTCTTTACCTGCTTAAGGTATCCCTCAGTTATCGAGCATATATACCTAGACATTGGCTCGCATCGACCAGGAATCGACGAGGCTTTATCGGTCTTGAAATCGGAGTTTAGCGCGTACCCCCCAGGAATGCATTCCTCAAGACGGGGGTTCCACCGGTGTTTTCCAGCCGGCCGATTGGAAAGATGAAACAGCTTCTTTTTGTGGTACCGTTTTCGATGTTTTTGTGTAAGTTTGAAGAAGAGGAAGATAATAGGACTTGACGTTTGAGAAAAGATTAACAGCAAAACTTGAAGATTTGTAAAAGGGAAGAACTTAAGAGATGTAAAAACTTTGGAGATTAGAAGGAAGTGAAAGTAAAGTTTGAATCAATGAGGAAATGGTCTATTTATTGGATTCACGGCGATGGTTCAAAGGAACTAGTGGCCGATCACCAACTGACACTCATTAATGACTTGGGAAACTGTATCAACGGGACGTTTCGGTCACTCCCGTCGCTTATGTCACGAGGATGATGTCATGACAGATCGAGGTAAAAAGGCTCAATTCGTTTCTTGTCATTTCACTCCAAAAAATGAGGGAACTATTTTTATACGATTAAAACCGGGCCCACCCAATTTTACTATTTGGCTGAGACCAGGAGGTTGCATCGAAGGATGGCCTCATAACGGAACAGTCTAAATCACGAGGATAAGGTACCGAGTTCAGAATCGAGGTACTTGTCGAGATCGAGGCTAGTAGCGATCGAAGCCAAATGAGACAGACATCGAGCAAGATCGAAGATAGCATAATAACAGAAAGGCGAGATATCTGTGACTAGTCGAGGATCATGGCGTAAATCTCGGAACAAATCAAATCAGAAACGGTTAATTAGCTAATCATTGGATTTCCTTCTGTAATTAGAATTATACCATAAGTGGAATTCCTCTACTATTTAAAGGGGGATTCTAATCATCTGTAAGAGACATTATTCACAGATATCAAAGCAATATAATTCTCTTTCTCCTTTATACTATTGTTAATCAGCTTGTTATATTTTAATTGTTCTTACATCAACCAGCTTGAGGGTATCCAAACTCGAGGGCTGAGTTCCGTTCTAACACTGGTTTGCTTTACTTTATAGTTCTAACACTGGTTGATGTTATCCAAACTCGAGGGCTGAGTTCCGTTCTAACACTGGTTTGCTTTACTTTATAGTTCATTTCTGTTATTAATCTTCATATTTATCAATTGGTATTAAGTGAAATCACGTGTCCTTAGAACCACATTATAAGTTTAATTGTTATCCAATTTTAAGGATAAACAGTAATAAGAATTCATTTTGATTTATGTTCTAATATTGTTGAAAGAATATCTATCACTAATGATAAAGAAGATAAAATCCGGTGGGAGACTCTGACATTCTTTTCTTTTAGTATATGTTTTTAGCAGTTGTTTATTTTAATAGAACATAACATTTATATTTTTTAGACAATACATTTTTTATTTATTATTTTATGGCTAAAATATTACTTGAGATATCGTATAGGTGTATATTTTTCTGTGCACATCTTATGCATTAAAGCCGGATGTAGTATTCTACCGACAGATTCTACTGAACTCATAATTTTCGACGCGGAGTAAAGATTTATATGTAAAAATTCATTATAATTATAAAAATAGTAGATATGAACCCATAACTTTAAATAAATGATGAGTTCAATACTAAAAATCTTTAAATTTGAACCCATATAATTTAATTCCTGAATCCTCCTCTGCGTTAAAGATAAATAAACACTATTGTAGAATTTAATCTCCAAATAAAGATCAAATCATATTCGTCTTAATAGAGTACTTCTTTTGTGTTTGGCCTTTTACCCATACGATGAAATATCCATGAGAATAGTATTTGACATGTAAATGATAAGTATACCGAGATTGAATAGTAGAAAGTTGAACAAATATTATAACCATCCACATAAATTGTTATTTTTTATATCAAAAGGGAAAGAAAGCAACAAAAGAAAACTAGCTAGAAATTAAGTGAGGGAATGAAACCCCCAACATCTCCCATAACATGCGAAGAAACGGTATAAGGTACAAGGTATGCCATTCAAAACGAGGCTCATGACTAACGGTCAAATTGGCTAAACCATCAGCTACCGAATTAATCTCCTTGCAGATATGAGCAATAGAGACCGTTCAGGCCCTAGTCAAGAGATGACGTATGTAGTTGACAATATCACAATTCTAATGAGGCATAGATCCTCCAGACCGCAACATATGAACCCATGGAATTTTTTTAATCATAAACCAAGTCCATCCAAAAAAGAAGTAAAAGCTCACACGTACTAATCAAATTAAAATGCCTTTTATTAATAGCAATAAAATAAAAAATTTAATACAGTACTACAAATCTAAAAAATTCAACAGAAGGAGATAGAAGGAAAATTGAAAAAAAAAAAACGGAACCAAAAATAATAAGGGAAGACGAAATCTACTCTCCTCAAATTTATGATACTTTTATTGACAACATATATATAGTGCAATGGGAGCAAAACTAAATTAGAAAAAGGGAAACACATTTTCAAAGAACTTGTGTGGTTAAGCTTTCCATTATTGGCTCATGCTCCAACTGACTTCAGGGACTCAACTTTTCTTGGCCTGCCAAAGTACAAAAAAAATATTTTTTTTAAAGGATTTGGCCTGGTATTTTATACCAAATCAAGTAATTTAATCATAAAAGTTAGTACAAATTAAAGTGATAATGTATATCTTTTTTGTTTATATAACCATATAGTATCTGAAACCTACTGGCCAACTAATCCACTTTGCACCAAGTAGAGCCCATGTTAATGTGAGAGGAAAAGCTTCCTACCAGGGGGTTTTCCGTTCCCAGGGCTCAAACCGAACTTGTAAATGGTGAAGGGATTAAGTCCTATACTCCTCATTTAGCCGTAGTTAAATGATAAAAGTTTATACGAAAGAAACATGTTTTATATAACCATATAGTATTTGAAACCTACTGGCCGATTAATCTACTTTGCACCGAGTAGTAAGGGTCGGGGAAAGCTTCTTACTAGGGGTTACTCCATTTTCAGAGCTCGAAACCGACTTGTTAATGGTGGAGTATCCTATCCATTCCACGGGACTCCTTGATGGTGATGATATATACTCCTCATTTAACCATAGTTAAACGATCAAAGTTTATAGGAAAGACACATGTTTTACATTATTTATTGGGCAAGATATAAAATCGAAATTAATTGCTATGCGCGGGGTTCGAAGAAGGGTCAGACCACAAGGGTATATTGTACGCAGTCTTACCCTGCATTTCTGTAAGAGGGCAGCTCGGTACACTAAGCTCCCGCTATGCGTGGTATCCGAAGAAGGGCCGGACTACAAGGGCCTATTGTGGACAGCCTTACCCTGCATTTCTTCGAGGCTGTTTTCACGGCTCGAATTCGTGATTTCCCATTTGCTAGCCAAAAAGTGAACCTAAAATGTATATTTTATATATATATATATATATATTGTTGGCTATTATTTTTGGGAGCGGCTAAAAATACCTGGTGTAAGGGTCAAGGTCAAAGGCAGGATTAGGCTCCTGGATTCGGCCAACTTTCCTCAAGACAGACTTGTCAATATACTTATTAGCAGAACCAGCTGTTGCATCTGGAAAATCAACTTCAGCAAGATTTTCTCTCTTCTTTTTGTTGATATAAACTCCTGGACCATGAAACAACTGCTGTTTCATTGTGAATAAACACAATGCTATTGCCACTGATAGGGTTCCACCCAATACATACACTGGTGCCAAATCTCCACTCATAGAAAACCTTTAAAAAAAACAGAAGAACAATTAACCAATATAGTTCTCTATCCAACAGTTTAAACTAAAAATAGCAGGTCGCGGTATATTATATGTATAATTCATGTATAATATTTGTAAAATTGTGTATAATTAGTTAATTACTATATAATCTATATTTACTGGCTAGAAAAAGTAAATAATAAATCTGGCATGCTATTTACATATAATTCATGATGATCAAATATTAAGGACTGTATTGTCTGTCATTAACATAATGAATGGGGTTTGGAGTACATTTGTCAAAATGACTAATTTTCATTGTGAATTCAGATAGTATTAATTAATTTTTTTGTCTTTATAAAGATGATTTTTCATATTTAAGAACAATAGAAAAGCACTATCAATTGCACTTCTTATAACTAAATTTTAGACGTGTTCTAAAAATACAATAGTTTATAATTAATTGATTCTTTAGCTAGTAATAATATCATATAAAATGTGACACAGAAAATACTTTACCTGGACCAACTCTACATTTGCATGCCCTGCTAAATAGTGATTCTTTTTTGTTCTTTTATAGTACAATCATTAAAAAAAATGCCATTTTGATCCCTGAATATTTTAGAAAGATATTGTAAAACAAATCATGTTTTCTTCCTTACCATTCAAGTTTATTATGGAATCTATAATATTACTATGTCAACGTACATGTTGTTACACACTTATGGCCAAAAATAAAAAAGGCAACCAAGCGTACAAGGTATCACGTGTTCATGCAGGGGACGGGAAAGGTCCGCAGCCCAAGGGATATATGATGTAGACAACCTAACCTAATATTAGTGGCCGCTTCCACGACTTGAATCCGTGACATATAGATCAGACAATTTTATCATTGCTCCAAGATTCCCCTTCTAGACACTTAGCTTATGGCAGATTATCAAAAATATTTGCTAGGACATCAAGAATTTCTTTGACAAATCATAATTAAAAAAGTTCCATATCCAATATAAATTCCTAAATATAAGGTTAAATGCAATAGAAAAGATTAAATTATAGGGTAGGATTAAGAGACAAACTTGGATTTGGGAGGTGTAGGATTAGCATTATGCATAGAACCACCACTAGCAAATTTTGGAGCAGTAGAAGAAGCAAATGAGCGATTTGCCTCCACAGCATTCACCACAGATTTCCAGTACCTCTGCTACAACAACGTAGGCAATAATAAATACAGAAGTTATCGTCAATAATAAAGACATTTTTTTAGTACGTGTTGGTAATCAAAGAATGAAAAAAGGGTCAAAATTATCATTCTACTATACCAAATAAAACAATTATATTCTCCCTTTAAAGTTGGCAGTAGTTTTGTCCATGTCGTGACCAATCGAGGCCATCCTTACCCTTCCCTACTAACAGATCAGTTTCCAAAAAAATTTAAATCGCAGAAATTATTTTCTCCATTTTTTAAATTCACATGGCATTCAGAAAATACCTCTTCCCCCAATTTTTTTTTATACGTGCGCGCTCTTTTACCGTACCCCCTATTTCACACAAACACACACACATATATATATTTATACACACGATTGCATTATAAGGTCATAATTAAAATGATCGTTAGATTTTATATTTTTCAATATATACCGAGATTTAAATAAACAATAAAAGATCTAGTAATTCAGTCTTATTACTATAAGACATAAGAGTTTGCCATTTAACATTAAAAAAAAATGCAACAAAAGAAGAAGAAGAAGGAGGATAATAATAATGGATTTTCTTTTCCTTACCATTCTGAAGGCCATTTTCAAAGTGATAGAATCAGGAACAATAGTTTCATAAAAAGCAAAAGAAGTCAGTTTTTTAAAAAGGAAAGAGAGTTGATTAGTTCTAAATATAGAGGAAGGATGAGGATTAGAGATTTAATTTGGGTGGTTATTAGAATTCCTAAAAGAATGGTAAAGAAGACAGATACGTTTTATATGCTCGATTTGCATGGAAAATGCATGGGATTTACGGAAGGAAGTTATCTTTTTTCTTCCTTTAAATTTAATCCGATTTACAAGATTATACGTGTGTGTGATATATTTCACCAATCGAGTCACATGTATATAATATATTGTGTCATTTGTGTGTGATATTATTTCACCTATCGAGTAACAGATATGTAATATATTCATATTTGTTACATATGAGCAGAGGCGGATTCAGGATTCGAAGGTTGCGGGTGCCACCATGTTATGAATACAGTATACATATAAGTAACTACAAAGACAGATTATGAATAATGGACCGGTTCGGTTAGTTTTTGGTTAATTTGAATAGGCCTTTCATTCACAAAGCAAATAAGTTCGATTTTAGTTCAAATTTGTAACGCTTAATTTAAACACATTCTAAATAAAAATGCAAAAGAAAAATAACATTTCATGAAAGAGCGCCTCCAATATAAATATTTTCTTAAAGAATACCTTAACTACACTATATATTCATTGTTTGACTAGATTAATTTACTTGTATTGTTCTTTGTTTATTTTTCCATCTTAATTGTTGAGTTATATGACGATTATTTTCAAAGAAAAACCTTCAACATTCAACCTATGATATTCGACTCAAAGCGACTATCAATCAAGCTATTTAATTTTTTTTAAAACCCAATAGAAGATATTGCTCAAATTATATTTCAATATATAAATTAATATCGTTTCATTAAAAATAAAAAAATTATATGCTAATTAAAAACAATTCAAATTACCTATAAAAAATAATTGTTCATAAAGTAAAGTATAATGATAGAAACAAAATAAGGACTGAAAGTTAAAAAAATGAAGAAGAGAGACTTAGCAAGTAATAAAAGGAAGGAAAGAATAGAAAAGGAAGGAAAAGAGATGAGGCCCTAGGGCTCAACTGAAAATAAAGGAAACCTTAATAAATAGAAAAAAGAAAAAATCAAAGGAGTTGCTCCAACAGGGAATCAAACTTGCATTCATGAAGCCACGGAAAGCCTTCAAAGGGAAGGCTGAACCAATGGCACCCTCTTCCACTTTGTGATTTTTGGGTGCCATTCTATTCATTTATACGTTTCTTCACAGAAATATTATGTACATAGTAAGAATTTTAGCAAAGTGAGCGGGTACCGTGGTACCCCAACCTCGTAAGGTAGATCCGCCCCTGCATATGAGAATCGGTTAAAAAAGAATTAGAATAGAATAGTGAGAATTAAACTCACACTTATTGTTAGATAAACTCACATGCGCTGTACCACTAATCTATAAGTCTTGGTTGTAGTTTAAAGAGTCATATATACCCCTCTATTTGGTATATTCTTCACATCTACCCTCCGTTATACTATCAGGACATATTTACCCTTACCGTTAGTCAAACTTTTTAAAAATGCCCTCCACCTAACGGAAAGTCACCAAATTTAAAAAATAACTTTTATTTAAAACCCATTAATAACCCATTAAACCCCTTTTATTTACTGCACTTCTTCCTTACATATTAGTCATCTCCTTCGTAGTCTCTTGTTGAACTCAAGAAGTGAAAATCATAAAAATACCGACAACCATATATTCATTTATACATTGTGTCCCGATTCTTTTAATATCCTTATTGTATGTTTATTATATTCTACCTCGTCCAATTTCTTTTTTTTTCTTCTAGCTTCTCTCTTTATTTTTTCCCACCATGTCGAACTGTACCAAGTATTCATCATGATTCTCTTTCCACCATGACTTGTATGTTTATAGCATCTTATTAGGTTGGCAGTTCTAAAGTCTTAAGGCAGCTACCGAAGTATTTCTTCCTCCAACAGTGAGCCTTTATTGATGAGTATTCACGCACCATAATTTTCTTATTCTGCTTTAAGCATTTGGGCAACAAGTAATTATCGCCAAATCACCCCTTAAGAACCAAAGTTAGATTCCAAGATATAGGATGAGATACTCATAGTTCTTAGTAACAACTGAACTTATAATGAACAAAAACTAGAAAATAATTAGAGAGGAGATTCAATTTAATATCAAGCTACAGTCCGAGGAATTCATCAAGAATGAAAGAAAGTAAACCAACAAGTTGAAAAATAACTTAACAACCTAAGTACACTAACTTAATGTATTAACCAAACACAAGTATTATTAAAGTATATATCAGTTGTTACCAACATACAAACTAACTGTCAAGTGTGTATTACATTAGACAAAAGGGATGCCCTATTATAACCACATAAAAAAATTTAAAGTGATAACATGACATCCTAATGCCACCATGAACAACTAATAACCAAAAATATAAGTTCTTACTTATCCTACTTCCACTATCATTCCCGGTCTCTCTCTAAATGAATAAAACGTGTTAAGACGTCTTAGAAATCTAGGTTTCGTATTTTTAAATAATGGGTTTAACGGGTTTGGGTTAATGAATTTTTTTTAAAAATAATTATTTTATTAATCTGGTGGTTTTCTGTTAGGTGGAGGGTATTATTAAAAAGTTTGGCTAACGGTAAGGGTAAATATGGCCCCATAGTATAACGGAGGGTAGATATGAATAATAATAATAGTAATTATTATTATTATTATTGAATTTGTATCAAATTGAGCTCTATTAAATTCACATCTATGGTGCGATAAATTCAGAGGAGTACCACTAAATTACAAGTCTAGTGGTAGAATTTTTATTATTATATGTACGTGAGTGTTATCTATCTATTTATCTATATTATATTAAAAGCACGAACCCCTAAACTTAAAAGCTAAATTATATATTTGCCCTTCTAAATAATTTTAATATTTTATTCCAAAAATTGAAAGAAAAAAGAAAAGAAAACTGAAAATTTGCTACATTGAGTCACAATGGTTAGAAAAGTCTATAGACACGTTGGTTTGGCACAGCACATATTATAAATTTATAATAGTATATTAACTATAAAATATTTAAATAAAAAGAAGGCAACTGATGTTTCTTTTTCTTCCTAAGGTTGTGTCTTTTTAAGATAACTCACCATCTCTTCTTTCAATTCAAAATTCACCCCATCAAACTTTGAACACAAGTTCATTCTCATTGAAGAAATATATTGGAGACAAAAAAAATAATGGTCTTGAAGATTGAATATTAAAGCAATTATCTACGAGGCGCATAGACATGGCTCTAAGAAGTCAAACACTCCTTTGATAAATTTTCATCAAATTAAGTATTATTTTATGAAAGAAGGTGTCGAGAGATATTGTCAAGTTGCGTCAGGCTATTATTTGGAGAGATTGGAGCGGTTTGATAACAAAAAAATGGGTTCTATTTTCTCTTATTTAACTTATGGTTTATATGTTGTTTCTTATCCGTAGTTATTTATAAATATAATTCTATAAATCTTATGGCACTTAATATATGGTGTGTCTTGCATGCATGTTACAATTAAAAATAAAAAGTAGTATTTTGACAAATGAGATTGATTTGTTGGTATATAATTTAGCAGCATGCATGAAATTATGTGAACATTTTAGTTTTAAAGTTGTAATATGTGAATTAGACTTACTAACTTGAATAAATTTCTGAAATCATAAGAATAAATGAGGTTTACATATAAATATTATTTAAATGTAGCTGTCCTTTTATCATGAATTTGATATCTCTTTGAGAGAAAATCCAAATAACCTTTTAATTTATTTTTAAAAATAATAATAATAAAATAAAAAATTGAAAAAATTATTTATATTGTGTTTCTCTAAATAATTATGTTCTTTTATTAGTAAATTATTTTTAAAAAGAATATTTATTTGTTAAGAAAAGAACTTTTCAAAGGGTTACTTATTTTATTTTAAGAAAATTATTTGTGAGAGAAAAGACATAACTTTTTAGTTATTTTATATGTTTTTATTATATAATAACTATTATGCATACCTATTCAATGTGATTTTCACGGTTGGTGTTATGAACTATAAATCAATACTCAAGCGACCATACGATCTTCTATACCGGTCATTTACAGAAGCTTGTACTTAATTTTTTCATGTATAATCATCCACTAAAAATAATTTCTTAAAAAGTAAAAACGGTTTCCTTAAGTTCAAACTAAATGCTATGACTTTATTGTGAATCGTCCGAAAGTGCAGCTTAAGTCGCACTTCAGGACTGCGATTTGTAGCTATCTCGAAATGCAATATATAAATCGCAATATTGAAATGCTATTTATATATCGTATTTCGCTACTGCTATGTATAAGACGCAGGGTTAACGTTAATTCGGAAATGATACGTTTCAGTGTTTCCTCTTCCATTCCTGTTTTGCACTTCCTTATTAGTTAATGAGTTTTCTTTCCAAAATGTCACTCTTCATTTATAATTCTTCAATAGTGAATGACTGCTTAATTATGTTTAGGAAAAGCATTTTCTCATGCCCTTTATATCGATGGAGAATTCAACGCATGTCTGGGTTAAATACACGTCACTAGTTCGAATCTTGCTAGGGACAAAATCTTGATATTTAAGTGGAAAAGAGTAAATGGACAGACTTTTTATCTTAGGGATAGGTATTAATAAATGAATGACTTAGGCAGAGAACATTTTCGAGTATATAAACTATGTACACTATATAATGACAATATAAATACATAGCAACATAAGCAATGAATCATGTGAAATTGTACCCAATTCAATAATACATTGTTATTGCCTGCAGTGACGGATTCTTGAGTCCTCTTCTCTCTCGTCTCCATTCTCTTTCTTCGATAACGGTAATATCTAGCCAGAAACGGCTATCTCCCTCGAAACTCAATCATGAGTTTTTACGTTCCTCCGTTAGGAAAGAGCTCACACAAGTCCCCAGATCCACCAGATGTTACGAATTTCCCACCCCTTACCACAAATTCCCAAAGAAACCACAAAATTAACAATCAAGCTGTGAATGTGGGG